ACTAAGGAGTTGACTGGACAAATAAAGGAGGAATAAAAATAATAAGCTAAAAACAGACAAGATCATATTTATATTAATTAATGATAAGATTTGCGCTGTGTTTATTTTAATGCTATAGATCTATATGAATATAAATAGTTACTTGAACAATAATGAGTTTAATCAAATGACTTGAACAAAAAGAGTTTAATCAGATTTTTGTTGATTAGAAATTAGATCATTTGTCTATTGGGAACTAGATCTCGACTGAATACTAAGGAGTTGACTGGACAAATAAAGGAGGAATAAAAATAATAAGCTAAAAACAGACAAGATCATATTTATATTAATTAATGATAAGATTTGCGCTGTGTTTATTTTAATGCTATAGATCTATATGAATATAAATAGTTACTTGAACAATAATGAGTTTAATCAAATGAAGAATACAGATGTAACAACAGTAAATTCAAAATAGCCTGTACGCGTATAATAATAAAAATAAGTAAAAAAAATGGTTATAAAATAGCTTGTCCAATTAATGGCGGCCTTAAAGGTGAAAAGCAAAAAAATCCTTGCAATAGTGTAGAATAATTCAGGGTTACATTTATTTATAATGGAAACGATAAGAGCAAAGTATGAATAACGGTTATACACAGTGAAACCGTACCTCGAATATTCTCAATACAATTCATTTCATAGCTTCAAGCTACTCTACCTACAAGAATTAGTCAAATAGACTTAAAACATATTACGTAAAACCATAAACATATTACGTAAAACCAAAACCAGGAGCACGGAAAACATGAGTTAGAAAAATAACAGTACATGACAAATTTACTAATATTGTTTTTAACTAAATATTTAATTCTCATGCGGTCTCATGAAGTGGCCTAGCATCCGGCATCTAAATGGCTTCTTGGTATTCTGCGAGACATGGCCACAATTCTTGAATCAGTTCATGAACTGACGCATTATTTGTGGATGTAATATTAAAGGGACCTGTTGGTCCCTTTAATATTATATGGTGGTATTACATCCACAAATGGTGTTACATCCAGAAATAGCATACAAGAAACAAGAAGAAAGAGAAGACATTTGCTCTTTGCTCCGCTCGACAGATGATTTCAGTCACTCTTAATTTCAGAATCTAGAACATGAATTCTATCTCACCTATGCTTTTTTCTTGTTATTATTTAATCGATGTCTCTGTGAATTTACATTCTGCATAAACCATTATAACGCGTTCTGCTGTTTTTCGTCTTGTAGAATCTCGAGCCATTGTGAAATCTCTGTAATTAAACTGAAAATTTTCGAAATATACTAATTACGTTACCTCTAAACAATGATATGCATTATACCTGTTTACTTAATACATGATATCCTGTTTTCGAATATCGCAAGCATATGTCAGCCTGAGTTATTATATAGAATTTGAAATGCATTCCTCACTTTCCTCAATCTCTGAATTCCAGTTAATTCATCATGATACTTTTTAGAGGCCTTGTATATTCAAAAGTTTTCTCATTCAACAAATAATCTCTAGAACAATATATAACAGAAAAATTTCTGTATAATAGAAGTTATCTTCGATATTAATTCAAATAAATGAGAATGATATTTGCATGTATCGACTTGCAAAAATATCTGAGAAATATGTAAATGTCTGTGTTTGATATCCATTACAGCTGAGTAAATTTACCTTTAAATACATGCTCATAAATTATATACATAAATTGCTAAAGAGTAAAGTGTATTAGTGAACATGCTTACTTTCTTTTATGAATAATCAGATGTTTCAATGACAACGTCTGCAGATATTAAAATGTATGAAGAAACACGTCAAATTAATAATCTCTCGGAATTTGCGAACGTCTTTGTTAAGAATCTTGCTGCTAAAATCTATAGTAACTTACAATACTCCTAAGTAAAAGTTGTTCATGGAATGTAAAGTCAGATGCTTGACAGCTAGCTTCAGGAACATTGCATTGAAAACAAAAATTAATTCAAAATTTAAAATTTCCCATATTTGCTTATATTATGTGTAGACCTACAGATTATGCATTTTCTCGCATAAAGAGGAAAAAAACAGCAATTCATATGCTGAAATATGCAGGCTGTCCAGAATTAAAGAACCCTATTTCATAGCTGCCTATAGGCGAAAGCAGTCATCAGAAAATTTTTTAATTTTCTGAGACCTAATTCTGTCTTTCAGCAAAAAATAGTTAGTTACAAATAGCATCACCAGAGGAGTTTTAATTCGGAAGCATGTAGTAAATATTAAATCTTTGTCGGCGTCACCAAGCAGCTATTATAAAATTTAGAAACATTTGCGGAGATTTTGTTTTTAATGAGCTAGCTCCTCACAGTGGCGATTAAGTTTACGAGTTCGCACTTTGTAAGTAATATTGTTTTGCCAAAACAGTAATTCCGCAGTAGCTGCTCTAGGAAACAATTGAACATTTGAGGATTCGAAGAGGTCCAATGACAATTAAAAATCTTCTGAAAATGATAATGAAATCTGAGGAAATAGGGTCATTATCTATTCGTTCCGGAAGAAGAAGAAACATGTTTCCAGAAGCAATAGAGGAGATTGTGTTTCAGATGAAAAGGAAATAGTTCCAAACTTTCAGGTTGGCACTAATGTCCGACGTGAAGCAGAGGCTCCATTCAACTGTCCATCAGATCTTGCAGAATACCCTCCGATAGTATCTTTACAAACTTTCACTGGTCCAACAGTTGCTTCCGTTTGATTCTGAGGCTCGACTCCGGTTCTCACTTCAGTTTCGTGCTGGCAGTGAGGTTGATTTGGCCTTGGAATATCCTATAGACGGACGAAACGCAATTTCATTTGCACATTGCAGTGAATACTCACAACTGCCGTATATGGGAACAAGAAAATCCGCGCCCTACCTTAGAGGTTCTGTTTACATTCACCAAAAGTGGTGGCATAGTGTGAATCTTTTGAATCATTTATGCTCGGTCTGTATTTCTTCCAGGAGATAAGTTCTATAGGTCCAACAAGATGCTCAATCACCGGCAGCGATATGCATCGCTGTTAAAGAACGAAATTGTACCAGCTCTGTAAGCACGTCAGTGCCCTGCACTCACAATCTTTAGGCAAGATGGAGTTTCACCACATAATGGAACTTTACTCAAATGCGTGATGGCGTCCAGTGTGTTACGAATGTTCTTAAATGTCATTTTACAGGTGACAGGTGCGAGCAGGGTCCGGAAACCCGGGCAGCTTTCACTGACTATTCGGGTATCGTCCGAATCCCGCAGTTATCCAGGAAAAACAACACTGCCAGATAGGGGCTGATGTTGGAAGATAGATATATCGTGGATTCTTAAAATACCAATGCTTATTATACAGTCATTTTATAAAACAAAAGTGTTACCAGTCCACACTGTGTGACTTCCCCGAGCCGTAAACCATTGTATTTTTTTAATTTTAGGTGCATTTGAAACCTCTAGTTAGTCGTGATAATCCAAGAACTTTACCTGATCTTAAAGCCAGCATGTGCTTCTGCCAACTGTGAAACATACCATGTTGTGATCTCAGATGGCAGTTGAGAATGATGTCCATCAAGTGAAACAAGTTATGTCTCAATAAAATTTGTGTCAACGTGTGGTTAAATGTGTAATTTATTTATAGTGACCTCTGGTGGCGGTATTTGTAACTAATTTTTTTTTCTATGAAAGATATTCCTATTCCTTAATTAAGTCAGTCAAAAAATTTTACAATTTTTCTGGTGACTGTTTTATTCCGTAGGCATCTTTGAAATATTATTTCTTAATTCTGGGTATACTGTCCATTACCTCGAACCATTATCTGTCGCATGGTTTTGCCAATGGTACTTAAGCTTATCTGAAGCTAAGAATGATGTTAATAAATTATAGAAAATGATGTCAATAATATATTCGTCTTAAATTCGGGAAATAAAAATAAATGACTACATTTCATCCTACCAAATTGTATATAACCAGTAGGAAATGTGATAATTTCTGGGAGAGGTTCTTCAGATTTAAAAATGACAAAAATTGCAATAGTAAACAAAATATTAATTGTGTGTGTGTATTTTATTTTCCTATCATTTTAGCTTCATTCAAGAAAGCTACGACGATGTTAAGATGCACAGAAGGAGGTCTAAGGGCCCTATAATCATTTGAAGCTCAAATCATGAAGTCTTGGAAAATAATTTTAAAGCTTAAGGTACTAAAGGGTAGAAAGTCGATGCGAAATTGAAAATGGCCAAATTTTGAGCATATTTTGATTTCACAGAAAAGTTTCATATATTTTAAAAAATGAGGTACAGAAACGTTTGCTCATGGAATAAAATGTTCTGAGAAAGCATATTTTTCTATAAAACCAATAATAATCTAAGACTGAATTTCGATCAATAACTTAAGACTAATGTAAACTTTCTGGAAAATACATTTTTGACGTATAAACATTTTATACATATTCATACAAAATATATTTCATCTAAGTATTATGTGTAGCTATTAATCTCTTACGCTATGCTAAAACTGTGCTATAAATGTGTGGCTCTGCGGTGCATCTGTAAATGACTAAATATAAATAATTAATTTTTTCTTTCAAGAGGAACATTTGATTTGTTATTTTAACGATTAAATGAGGTTTTGAAAACTTAAGAAAAACAATTTAATCAGTAAATTTCAAATTTTGCTTCCTAGATGAAACATAAAACAGTAAGCATGAAATGTTTGCAAAAATTAACCTAAATTCTTTGGGATAAATGTAAGAAGACATACATGCTACAAACAGTTCTCTTTTTCATTATCTCATGAATACTAATATGGAAGTGCACACCACATTTTTACTAATTCACAGCAAAAACATTTAACTTTAAAGATTATAAATTGTCTAATTATGTATATAAATTCATGAAATATATAGGTTTGGTTTAATTGTGAACTGGCCTATTTTAATTTCTGTCTCTGCATCAAAAAGTAAGAAACAACATTTAAACTAACTTTCTTTTATTTTCATATCCTTTTTTACATAAACAATTGAAAATAAACAATTATTAACCAAATGAGCATTTAAAATCTAACTTCTGAATCAAAAGCACAGAAAATTTAAATAAAATTCAAAGCAGTTAAAATATTCATAAATCAATGAAATTAGCAATTATATATACATACTTAAAATAGTATAATGAAGTTATACATTTAAGCATACATCTAAGATCAATGCATTGTTTTCAAAAACATCCTCAAAGAAACACAATTTTTGCACAATATTAGGGTTCTTGATATTTCAAGATCAAAGTTTATGACACGCATTTCACAGAAAACAATGCTTCATCACGAAACGTAATTACAAAATAACGTAATATGAATATGTATATTTGTATATCAATGACATGTGTTTCCATCCAACTCTGCACGATTAATTCGAGCAGATAAAGTACTAAAACACCGATATCACAAACCGCCACCAATAACACAGATGCGTTTTCTTATCATCATTTTCCTTTTTCTCTACCAAAAATAACAATATCTTTCACACTTGTTTCCCTCAATGCTTGACAGTCTTCTTTTTTGTTCTTAACTATATTCTTTTGGACTTCCATTAGTGTGAAAATATTAGTGTGAAGTGTCTATATTCTATGACTTGTCATAGCAGTTCACAATATAAGAAAAACATGTTTTCCTTTTTATATATAGAATTCTACACCACAAAGTATTTTATACTGAACACTTTACTAAAGTCTTTTTTACTGCACAAAAGGTAAAGACTATTTCCAACTCGCGTGCTTGCGTAAAAAACTTCCGAACACATTTCCATTGCAAATTATAATAAATCTTCTGAAAAATATAAAGTTTTCAAATTTTTCTAATTTTGACAAATGAAACAAAAACATTATGTTTTTTAAATAGAAATTAATTTTTTAATTTTCCACTTATAATGCTTATATGTTGCTCACATTCCATATTTTTACATATTTATTTAGAATACAACAAGAGAAAAAGATTGCAAGTAAATATCATAGGAAACAGATAGATTTCTTAATTATAAACAGTTCACAAGTACGTACTTAATTAATAATTTCGAATTAAACAATAAACATACCTTTGAAATAATTCAATTATCTAAACTCAAATTTTAAAATCATTTTGATTATTTGTATCTTAGGTTAAAAAATTACTAAAAATTTAAAAGACTTTGATACAAGAATATTATTGTAAACAAACCCCTTTAATTACAAAAAAAATCTACTCGCTATAATGCTTATTAGGAAAATATTAAAATTAAAGGAAATTAATTATTGTATTTGAATTAATTACTTCGTTCAAATTGTTATTTAAATAAATATAAATAAATATCTTTAAGTGTTAAATACAAAATATTTCTATTAATTTTATTTTCTTGCTTTATATATAATTTATTTTTACACAGTGCATTTTTTTACATTTAGAATCTATACCCTATAATACATGCTGTTTATATTTTCACAGGCAAATGAAAATATATCATCAGGTTCTTAATAATCTGTACATTCTCGAAGTTGAAAACAGCTCACATTGGTTGTAAGTTTTGGTCCACAAAGACATCCAAGTTTTGCAGCCCTAGTTTTATGTTTTAATTTAGTAACTTAATGTACATGACTATATATGTGCTATTTAACACATGTAAATATTTTGAAAATCTGTTTTGGGAATAGAATTTTATAAATATGAATAAGAAGTGGAAATGTAAATCAAGCCAAACTTCCTTCTTCCATTACAGATTATTTACAAACAAATTTACAACAAAATTATATGTAAATCACTGTAGACTTTGGAACAATTGTCTCACTGAAAGTTTCTCAGAGGGTAAAACCTAAAATGTAGCAAAGGTCAAATTCCATTCAGTCCAACTTATCGAAATATGGAATCTATGCATTTTGCCTTCGTCACTGTAGGTAAAAGCTGGAGAAATCATGATTATCTTTTAAATATTTGAGGTTTTTGAATGGATGTTTAAGCTTCATAATGAACCGTCATGAACACACGGTTCACCGGGCGGAGATAACAACACGAAGGTGACAGAGCTGATGAACCGCAGAAGAATGCAGTTCGTGAGTGAAAAATTCGCACTTCATATAGTTCAGAAGAATTTGTGCCCGATATGACAATACACAAATATACAAACACACAAATATACACCACTGCCGAATTCTTTGGGCAACATGCCTGGTATTTTGTTGTCATCACTGAGTGTTCTTGAAGACAGTTACGATGGGTGACTTATTTTGTGACGCACACACTTTGGTGTGTCCCTTCTTTGCATCGTCTCTATCCGACAGCTGCAAGGAGATCTTCTCGCGGGTGGAACTACAGGAGGGTTATCTTCGAATGGTCGCAATCTGGAAGAGGAAACTCAACAACCCTGTGAAGAAGATCGGAATAGGACTCGTTGTAGCAGCGGTAGACCTTCCATGCTGCATGGCTGCCGGTTTTTCTCCTAAAAAAATGAAAATAGATTCAAGTGTTAAAAATATTTCAAATATTTTTATTAGATTAAATTGGTTATAAAAACTTAGTTGTGAATTAAACTTGCTAATAATGTATTTAAAATTATTCAGCATCACATTTTAATATAATGTCTATTCAAACTGTTTGCAACGAAAAAGTGTGTATCTTAAAAATTTAACTTTATTTATTTATTTTTTTTTTTTTTTTGTACATTCGTTGGTCTAAAGTAATAGTTAAGTATTTTATTGCGATAGACATTGATAAACTTCCTTAAGAAAAGAAGGAAAAATACCTATTTAAATCTTTTAAAATTTGGAAATAATGCTGTAACTAATTCTGTGTTCATATTGAATATCTGAAATTCTCGTTGGTTGGTTCTGAATGTTATAATGCTTCTTACTAACAAGAGTAATGTAACAACTAAATACGAAGTTGGACGTTAAAATCATAGAGCGGTCATAAGTAAGAGAAAAATCATAGAATCATTCAACTATAAAATCATGGAACGAGCGAGCGTATAAGAAACGATTGCGTGATAAAAGCCCTTCAGTTTATTTAATGTAATAAGTATCATTTTGCATTTTATTCTATGAGTCTGAAATTTAAATATATGTACTCAAAAATGTTGTGTCTTCTAGCATGCTAAATACATCAAATGACTCGATTAACAAACTAACTGTATCTGATTTGGATGCCAGTTGAGAATCCCTTGGCCACTCCTAATTAACTTATTACAAAATGGAAAATTATGGAAATAAATAGAAACAAATAGCATTATTTAATATGCTAAGCACATCAGTAAAAGAATTGCTTCGGGCAGTGCAGAAGCGGGGTACAAAATGGATTTTTTAATAACCTGGAATGTTCCTAGAAATATTCTCTCGTAAGTATGCAGTACAAACATAAATATGCCTTAAAGGCCTTTTAGCTACTCTTCTTTGTTAAACCGTACCAGCTGCCAAGTAGTAAATGTTCGAAACACTTATGGTTTCATTTGATTTCAAATCTCGACAACCAGCTATTATTCCTGAGAATTTTCGCGTTTTTCTTTATGTATAACTTAAATACCAGTCAGTTTCCTTTAAACTGTCCTCCACGAAAGGATCACTTTCAGCAGAAAGACCTTGATTGCATTGCCATAATTCGAACAACTAAAAAGTAAGCTTCAGATACTCTCACGAATAGATTAAGTGAACGCGTTAAAACTCATTACGATATGAGTTTTCTGGGAATGAGAATGGCAGAATTAAAAGCAGAAAATAATCCAACTTTAAAGTTTTATATACGCACATTTCGAGATTTCGCGATAAGACTAAACAAAACTGAATAATAAATAAATAATATTAAATAAAGATTAGAGGAAAGCGAATAATCATTTTATTGCTTTATTCTACATTTACAACGGAACTCGAATTGAGCAGTAAGTTTAAGAAAATAAATCAGTTCACAAAATTAACGGAAAACTTCACTGTACACAATGTTTCGGGTAAAAGCATAGATAAAACAATAATAATAATGCATAAAATGTAATGATTAATTGTGCCAAATTTAAGAAAATTAACTTTCACCTGACGCGATAAGCGCACCATTCCGCAGATAGGGAAAAGTTTGGCCGCTATTTCGCGTTATGGGAGAACAGAAAGCAGAAGTAAGTTTGACCTGTAAGATTAACTGAATACGACAACGCCACACATTTTTTTTCCTGTTCGCCTTTTCTGATATAAGAACCCATTCACTCCTTGTTTACTTTCTGTTCTAACTTTCGGCAGACAAGGGTTTCTAGATTTTACAAACACAACTTCAGAATCTCACCTTGTTGCATCATAATTGGCCTAATTTGTCTGATTAGCCTAATTTGTCTATCGGAAAAATCTATGAAAAGATCATTCTGAATATAATATATATATATATATATTATATATATATATAAAAAAAAACATATGTATATTCGTGAAATTCGTGAATAACTAATTTTGTCTTCCGAAAAGGATTATCAGCAATGATGAAGCTTGCGGGTGTAGTTTAATTTATTAACGCTTCTGTTCACAATAAACGAAGTGTTCTTCCACTCACGCTTGACGTGTTAAACGCTTTCCATGAAATTTAGTGTGAGGGTCTTATTTAAAAGCTGGTGAATCTGGTGCTCGAAGGAGAAGCAACGAAGCGTATAAAGTGGCTGCCATACTTCCTAGATCTCAGTCAAGAAACATATTAAGATGATGAGTTATCTCTAGACAAGTTCCGTTGACGCACCTTCTGCTATAAAATATCCCCCTTGAAGAGTATAATCATTCTAAATTATATTGCGTATCTCATTAATTCAATCTTTCTCAGATGTAAAGTCATCTTGCATTTTTTATCGCGACCATATTCAATATTATACACTTAAGAAAATTTGTCAATGCTTATTTTTCTTCTGTGTATACGAGCAAGTTTCCCTTAGAAAGTCCTCCACGAAGCCATCCCTCACCTTAGGCAGATAGCCCTAGTGTGCTTTGAAATACATAAATGAACCAAACCTTATTTTTCTTCTCGAAAAAATGGAGGAAGTAATGTTCTTTTTATGGCACCAGGTGAGGTATTTTCATGACATTCTTTAACGTCAAATATGGTTTTTCACCTCTGCGATTCTTTACCTTCCAAAAACATAGGTTTATATTGTATATATTTATCAACAATTATCCTTTCACGCTAAATTATTTATATGAAAATTGTATGCCTTAAGTGGCTGCGTTTGAGGGGCGTTGTCTGAAAAAAAAAAAAAAAAAAAAAACTCCTCCTGATTGTATTATGCTTAGAACAAATCAAAATCATCTTCATGAGGTAACTCATTCCGTGCGAAACAGAACTTCACAAAAGCTACCGGTTTTACGAAATTGAACCACTCGGCTACTGATGGCTCGACTACTATTCTGCTACGTAGATTTCACATGCTGCATTGTACATAGCGTAAGTGAATACGTCCAGCATGAGTCAAACACTATTACCCGTTTTATAATTTAGAATTATGAAGTTTATTATACTTAGAATTAGAGACTAGCTTCATCAGATCCATAAATCCATATATATATATATATATATATATATATATATATGAATTTATATATTTTTATGAATAATATTTCTGTATCTATCTATTTATATGCGTGGGCGTACGTGTGTGTTTTTTCATACAAATGATAAAAAATTAAATCTGCATGGATCCAGATACATGGCAAACTCTTACATAAAAAAATGATTCTGCACTTCTGAAGATATTTTATGAAAGAAAAAGTAACTTGCTTTGGCGAAAGAGTTCTACAAGAAACCTAACCCTATTCTCCTAACTCGAAATATTTAAGTTAAATTAAAACATTTTCTTTTAGTACAAAAGTAAATGAATAAGTAATAGATAATATTATTAGCCCAATGGAGCGTATGGGTATTAGTCTGAGACTAATACCCAACAAGATTTTGCGCTGAATCATTATAAAAGTCTGAATCACGTTTCAAATTGTTGTCATCCTGTATATTATATTTAAAGAACTTAAATAATCAAGAATTAGCATGAACGTATGCATGTGTTTCGCATTGTGGAAAAACAACTGTACCTAGAGCCTTAAAATTTTAAATAGCGTAGTTCTCCACACGAATATGGACACACGGAAGCCCGAATTTTAATTTCGAATTTGCTTTATTGCATATTTCGAATTTTGTAAAATTTTAATAAATGTTTGATTAACAAACTCAGTGATTTGAAAGAGAACAATGACAACACTGTACGAAAAAAAAAAACATTTTTATCTAAAGCACGCGAGACTGTCAATCGGAAATTCTGAAGTTTAAAGCTAAATTCTAAAGCTGTCTTTAAATATTTTCCGCGCGAAGGGACATTAGCCCAAATGCTTCCCAAACGTGTAACTGTATATAAGTGAAAAAAAAACGACCTATTGGGGGTAATATAAAATCTGAATTTTTTTTTTTTTTTCTTTTTTTGTGTGTGTGTGTTTTAAATATATTATTCAACTTTGTTTGCTCTTATAAAATATCTACACTCTTTTCAAAAAGATTTTTAGATGTCGTATTATATCTGATGGAATATGTTATTCTATGTTTTATTTTTAATTTTTTTTTTGCTTGGGATTAGCTAAAAATATCAGTTTCTAACAAAACATTTATCATTCAGTTTATTAAGACAACTTATTACCTTATTTGTTATGTGTTGTTATTCATCTCATTAAACTGCTCTTCAATAATTCAAGGAATATGTTTTGAAATGGTTCTAATCGTATTTGTAGATTAGAATGCTATTTTAATGGCCTTTAAAGAAATTATGTTTTAGTTCTGGTTTCACCAACAGATGGCGCCACTTGCTTATTCTTGTCCAGGCTTTCTTATCTTATCTAATCATTATTTCCTATCTTGTTCATTTGCGGTTTTGCAGCTGAAGATGGTGGACGGTAAAACCATCGAAACTAGTCCTGTGAAAATTTTGTAAATATGACGCTGATTTTTGTTGTTTGACTTCTGAATTAGTATTTATTCGGCGTGTTATTGTGTCTTAATTATGCTATTTTTGTTTGCGTATAATTTTTACTTACAAAACTTACGGTTTATAAAAAGACTAATATTTGTTTGTATACTAAATCATCGTTTCATACATGAAGAAGTATTATTTTTAAAATAATCAGAGAAAATCCTTTTAAAATTATTTCAAAAGTAATATATTAAATCATATGTGATACATTGAAATCATATGTGATAATTTGAAAGACGGCTGATAATTTACTAAATCTTTCGTTACCAAATTTTCGTTATCTGTCATTTAACAAACAATAATGTTCACTTTCTTCGTATTTTATTATTTGGAGAAAACAATGAAATAAAATTCAATTAGCTCCTTCTATGCAACTTATATCATTTTTGGGTGGCCTTTTTATTAAATTACATGGCGAAGAAAAGACTTTACTTCACGAAAGCAACTTTAAAATAACCTCCACATTATACTTT